AGGAAAATTACATCAATCACAAAATAGAGGACAACTACACAATACTGGGAATCATGGCTTAACCAAGTTGACACATATTGTTGGGGGACACAATCCAATCCATGACACCAAGGTCTTTACAATAAGCTCTGCATGTTCTGGTCTTTCCCACCTCTTTGACCATTTAGTTTATTCTCTGACCCTACTCTCTCCTCTCCCATCAAATGGTCCTCCTTTCTGTTCACTGAACACAGCAGACATGCTCCTCCCTCAGAGCCTTTGCATCTGCTGTTCCATAAGCCTGGAATTCAGTTTACCTTGGTATCCACTTGGTTCCCTTCCCAACCTCATTCAAGATTTTACTCAAACATCACCTCTATTCTCCCTGTTTCAAATTGCACTCTCCCCTTGACACTCCTTATACCCTTCCCTACTTTATTTCTACCTACAGTACTTATCAACATCTAACATGCCATATATTTACCTTACTGACTTTGCTTACTGTCTGCCTGCCCCCACTAGAATATAAACTCAAGGAGGGCAAAATTCTTTGCTTGCTTTTTTTACTTCTGTAATATCTAAAACAGTACCTGAAACACAGTAATCATTCAATAAATATTTGATGAATGAATGAGTAAATCATTCTCAATGACTTTGTTATTGGTGAACCAGTTAAATTGGTTGCCGTTGAATTGCTTCCCACTCATGGTGACCCCGTGTGTCTCAGAGTAAAACTGTACTTCACAAAGTTTTCAATGACTGATTTTTCAGAAGTAGATCACCAGGACTTTTTTCCAAGGCGTCTCTGGGTAGACTCAAACCTCCAACTTTGTGGTTAGCAGGAGTCCTGGGGTGGTGCAAATGGTTAACACGCTTGACTGCCAACTGATAGGTTGGAAATATGAGTCCTCCCAGAAGTGCCTCGAAAGAAAGTCCTGCTGATCTACTTCCAAAAAATCAGCCATTGAAAACTCTATGGAGTACAGTTCTAAACTGACACAAGTGGGCTCACCATGAGTCAGAATTGGCCTTATGGCAACTGTTTGTTTTTTTTTTTAAATCATTTGACATATAGGTAGTCCCTGATTTATGATGTATTCAAGTTACCACAAGCCCCACTTATAACTGTCCTTTTTTTCTTTGGTACATCTTATCATTAGTAATATGTTCTACATACAATGTTGCAGCACATAATTTGCCGATGTTATCATTCTCAGATGTTCACTTGCAGATGTTCAATTTTATGATTTATTGTTCAAAACACTGCCATATAGCAGGCTATGGCCTGGTCTACAATGAAGTTGGTATCAGTGTTGGGAGTCAGAATGGGTAGAAAGTTGGGCAATCCTCAACTCTAATGACATACAAGAAATGAGCTGCGCATGGGCCCAACAGCCATTATAACTCCAACTTCATTGTTATGACACTGATGCCGACTTCATTGTAGACCAGGCCTATAAGTGGGATCTTATTCAGCATTTCGTACCATAAGAAGCATCAGTTGTTAATTTGAAGCCGAGTTGTTCAAGTGTCTCTAACTGTAACACCCGCACTGCTTATGCCCCCAACAGTATGTCTAGCAAAAGAAGTCAGGCCACTGAAAGTTCTAATCCAAAAGAGAAGGCGAGGAAGGCTCTAGACATGGATATAAAGACGAAGATCATTAAGGCCTATGATAATGGAAAGAAAGTTGGCGAAATAGCACGTGAAGAAGGACGGTCTCATTTGACTGTTTTGACAATCATTAAGGATAAGGATAGGATTTTGTAAGCAGTTAAAGGAGTGATTGGCATAAAATCAACAATTTTAACAAAGAAGAGGCAAAGGGCCAATCCATGAGATGGAGATGCTCTTGACAATTTGGATAGAAGACCAAATCCAGAAGAGGATTCTTATGAGTTTACAGATGATTCAAATGAAAGCACGCAGCCTGTTTGAAAACCTGAAGGAACAGAAGGGAGAAGATGCCACGAAGGGCTGGTTTAAAATCACTTCAAACGCAGATTTGGCTTACATAA